AAACTGCTTTTGCCTTGACTGCTTGACAGTGTGCTGTGCAGACTGGACGGACATGCAGGACCCACAGGAAAGTGACTGCTGAGCTTTGCCATAACAAGGTGGGACAGTCCTGCAGTGTTTCTGCTTCACTGAAGAGTCTGCCATACATTCTGCAGGACACAGAGGAAAGCAACTGACAAATTTTGCCAGTACAAGGTGGTACAGTCCTTAAAATTTCCTGCCTCACTAAAAAGTTTGCCAGATACCCTAGGCCTGTAGGCTGAAGATGGATGCCCCAACAGCACAGAGGAAACTTGGGTGACTATCCAGGCACCCAGATGTCTCTGTCATTTCTAGAGTTTTGACAGTTGCTTGCAGTGCACTTCCTGTTTACTCAGATAATATATCCTTCTGGGGCCTTTGATGGAGTTGAAGACTAGATAATTATAGTTGCAGTTTTCCTTAGTTATGATAGAAAGTAAATTAGGTGTAAAATTTTGGATTCACTAAGATAAATGGAGTGTTTTCTCTGAATTTGCTAAATACAAATGGACTAAATATAATAAATTAATTCTTACTTGATAACTGTTTTTGTTGTGTATAGTTTTACTATGTTAAAGTTAAAATCTTTCATTTTTATTTTAAAAAAGGGGAAATGTTGTGGAATATTATTTTAAGATGTGTTACATTTGTTTGTGCAGTGGAACACTTGTTTAATGATGCAAAGATGTGTTGCATTTGTCCAGCAGATTTATCCAGTTCATGCTTGGAAGAAGTAGTGTGGATTGAGGAAAGAGTTAGACAAGAGACAGGGATAGAGTCAGGAGGGCACCTAGTGAATACCAGGATGAGCCCCAAGTTTATTACTCAAGGCTCTTATATACCCCAATCAAAAGGCTGGGGGGGCACTTCCTTACCAAGATACAAAGAACAAACAAGCATAATTAACTTCTCAATACCCAAAACATCAAGAAGCCACTCCCTAAACCAAACATCTGTTGTCAAGGTGAGACATCCATTAGCTACACTTTAGGCAAGATGTCCTGTTGTCAAGGCAAGATACACTATAGCCACACCTAAAACCAAACATACTGTTGTTCAACCTTGAAGGAGCAATAATGGGCTCTAACTCACTGACCTTAAATCAAGATGAAATGGAGCCACTTTTATGGGCCCTGACATGTGTTCTTTCATGTTGCATCTGTTTAACTCTGTAAAGCTGTGTTACTCTGCCTGTCTAAAACACCTGATTGGTCTAATAAAGAGCTGAAGGGCCAATAGCAAGGCAGGAGAAAGGATAGGTGGGGCTGGCAGGAAGAGAGAATAAAAAGGAGAATAAATCTGGAAAGAGAAAATTGAGGAATGAGAAAAGGAGAGAGGACAGCAGGGGACAGCCACCCAGCTGCACAGCCAGTCACAGAGTAAATTGGAAAAAAAAAGGTATATAGAATAGATAAAGATTAAAGCCCAGTGGCAAAAGATAGACGGGATAATTTAAGAAAAGCTGGCTAGAAATAAGCCAAGGTAAGGCCGGGCATTTATAGGTAATAATAAGCCTCTGTGTGTGATTTATTCGGGAGCTGTGTGGTGGGCTCCCCAAAGAGTAAAGAGTCAAAGAGTAAAAACCAACTACAGGCAATGAATACTTTTTGAGATATTTCTTAGCCATTTCTATTTCTTCTCTGGAGAACTCTATTCAGATGCCATGCCCATAGTTTGAAGGGGGCCACTTGTTTTTTGAGTTGTTTGTATATTCTGGATCATAACACACTGTCAGATGTCCAGCTGGCAAAGATGCTGGTGGCAGAATAGCACCAGAATAACACCAGATCATCCAACTGAAACTTAAAAAGCCAGAAGGGCATACGATTATGTGTTTCACATTCTGAAAGACAACAACTGAAAACCAGAATACTGCTCCCAGCAAAGCCGTCTGTCGTCATTGTGCATCACAAGCATCCTTGGTGCTCAGTGGCAGCAGGCCTCCCAGAGCCGAGACTTCATCTGTCACATAGACCTCAACACAGTCAGCCGGAAGATCTGGTCACTCTGTGCCCAGGGAATTCATATCTGCCTTATCTTTCAGCTTAGTACAGACTTAGTGAGCAGAAACCTGATCTTGATCCAACATATTGGCACTGAGAGATGGTAGAAAGACAGGGCCATTATGGATGCATAGGAAGGGAAAAGAACCCCTTGCCCTGAAGTCTGGCTGAAGCCTCTTCTCAGCTACAAAGCAAGAATTCTAGCTGTGGGGGCTGGAGAGATAGCTCAGAGGTTAGGCGCACTGGCTGCTCTTCCAGAGGTCCTGAGTTCAATTCCCAGCAACCATATGGTGGCTCACAACTATCCATAATGAGATCTGGTGCCCTCTTCTGGCGTGCAGACATACATGGAGGCCGGATGTTGTATTCATAATAAATAAATCTCTTAAAAAAAGAAAAATAATTTCAGCTGTGAATGATGCCGACATGAGGTAATATTCCTTTTGTAGATAGGCATTTTATATTAGAATAGCAATGGACGAGGCTTAAAGCCTTGAGGATTTTGAGTAGGGTCTCATTCTTCTCTTGAATATTTGATGAGAATTTCACAAACATCCCAGAAACTACTGACAGTTAATCCCTCACAGGATTGAAGAACAGATGAGCAGGTGTACACTTTTAGAACATTAGAAGTGAGCCGTTGTGAATGTCCCATGTGCCCCAGCTGATGAAAGGACAGCTCTGTGACCTCTGGTCTGTGTCAGGAGCGGTAATCTTCAACTAGTTTGGATTCTAGGCCAAGCTGGTGAAAATCCCCTAATTAACAGCCCACTCCATTTTCTGCCTTCTTATTAATGGCCTCCCTTCACAGGCTTCCAGCTCCGTAATACACTGACCAGAAGCAAAACACTAAGCACCTATTCACAGGCCACTTCCACCTAGCTGACCTTGAGATGACTGCAGGTCCCCAGCGTCTGTACCCACGCCCAACCGCATCTTGTCCTCACTGGCAGGGAGGTCCCTGCCCACATGGGCCTGTCTGCCTGGGACTTGTTCTCAGACTGGCACTTGTAGACTCTGTGGCCATTTTGGATGAGGGCTAGAAGAAAATGACCCAGAAAGACCGGTGATGTAACCCTGGGCACAACCGCTAGAGAGCCTAGTTTGTGAGACCCCACTGCCACCATTTTCATGCAGGCGTCCTCAAGTCCTTGTTGTGTACCTGCTGCTTTCTGTTTTTAAATTTTACCTACATCAGAGTGCGCACGGAGTTGATTTCTGTCCCTTCTCGGCCCTGGTATCCGACCGCGGACACCTGGGTCTGGGCAGGCGTTCCCGGGCTTGCTGGGTTGGCCCGGGACCGAGCCGGGGGTCCCCATGGCGCAGCTCCTTACCCCGGGAAGGCCCTCGGCTCAGCCGGTGTTCAGGAAGCCCGGGGCCGTGAGCTTCGCGGATGTGGCCGTGTACTTCTCCCCCGAGGAGTGGGGCTGTCTGCGGCCCGCGCAGAGAGCCCTGTACCGGGAGGTGATGCGCGAGACCTACGGCCTCCTGGGCGCGCTCGGTGAGGGCCTTTCCTGGCCTCCTGGGCTCGTGCTGCGCGTGACACTGTGTGTCCAGCGGTGCAGCCGGCCAGTTGTGGTACCTTCTGGTGACTCCACTTGCCAGCCTGGCAGTTTCTTCCCTGAACTGTTTCCTTGGCCAAAGTCATTATGCCTGGCACCTGGATTCACCTAGAAGGGGGCTGTGATTGTGCCCATGCAGCGCCCTCACTTCATATCTAGCTATGTTGATTGTCACCCAGCGTTTCCACTCCTGCTCTGCTGCCATCACTGTGACTCCCTTCTGGAGGCTTCTTCAGTTCTTCCCATCCACCTGTGGCAAGTGCTCAGCCCTCTGGACTTGGGATTGGGGGCCACACTGATGCCCTTCTTTATGCTGCCTCTGGACATCCACACACCCTGCATGCTCAGATGCTGTGTCCTCTCCCCTCCAGTGTCCTGTCTGTCACCATGTAGGGGTGTGGGAGCCAAAGAGCAGGATCAGACAGAGTCTGAGTTTTTCCTTGGTCTCCAAACAGATTGCAGACAGGAGGAAAGGAAGAGACCGAAGGAAGAGACTGAGGCAACCCAGAAGACATTTTCTACACAAGGTGGGCCGAAGGAGCCTCACCCCTCCTTTGCTGGACCCCCTTGCAACTTGGAGCTGCTGTCCAAGGACCCTCACCAGGGCCACCCCCCTCTTGTTGTCCATGCCACTGTCCCAAGAGCAGATCAGCGCCATGGCTGCCGTGTGTGTGGGAAGAGTTTTGCCTGGCAGTCCACATTGGTGGAGCACCTGTACACTCATACAGGTGAAAAGCCATTCCGTTGCCCTGACTGCAGCAAGCCCTTCGGCCGGGCTTCCTCCCTAAGCAAGCATCGGGCCATACACCGAGGCGAAAGGCCACATCGCTGTCCTGATTGTGGACGTGCCTTTACGCAGCGCTCTGCCCTCACGGCCCATCTCCGCATCCACACTGGCGAGAAGCCCTACGGCTGTGCTGATTGTGGGCGCTGCTTCAGCCAGAGCTCTGCACTCCATCAGCATCAGCGGGTACACAGTGGCATGACCCCCTTTCCTTGCACAGACTGTGGCAAAGCCTTTGCCCATGCCTCAGATCTTCGGCGCCACGTGCGCACCCATACAGGTGAAAAGCCTTACTCATGTCCTGACTGTGGACGCTGCTTCCGCCAGAGCTCTGAAATGGCAGCCCACAGGCGAACCCACAGTGGCGAGCGACCCTACTCTTGCCCTCAGTGTGGCAGGTGTTTTGGCCAGAAGTCAGCAGTGGCAAAGCATCAGTGGGTCCATCGGCCAGGGGCTAGGGGCCATAGGGTCGGAGAAGCCAGTCAGTTATCCATATCCCTGGCCACAGGCCACGGGGACCCGGATCCACCTGTGGGCTTCCGGCACTATCCAGAGATATTACAGGAGTGCGGGGGATGGTCTTAAAAGCTCGACCATAGAAGGTGAAATATACACACTGTTTGAAGCCCAGAGGCTTTGAACCTATGGCATCCTCTGGAAGTCACAGAAGTTCTAGCAAGGGCTGGTCCTGGAGACAGAGTACAGTCTTGTGGGTGGTTCCCAGATGTGTTTGCACACACACTGATCCCACTGGTCTAGGTTCTGAGTCTATTTGGGCTAGGGTGGGAAACCCACTAGAACTTGTATGAGGAGCAAGAACAGTTTTCTGGCTCAGAAGTATTGAGAGGCTCGAGGTTGAAGAGAACCTCGTATGATCCATTGCCTCTTTAATGCAGAGGCCAAAGTTGATGGCTGTGTGAACTGAGAGCTGCATTTTCAGGGTTATTAGTTACCGGTCAAGATCCAAGTGTGGTGGTGCATGCCTATGAGAGACAGGAAGGTCAGGAATTTGAGACCAATTTGGGCTACCTGAGAGTCCATCTAAGGTGAATGAATAAATAAATAATAAGTGAAATTAATTGAGGTTTAAAAGTCAAAGTAGTTCGGGCCTGGAGAGATGGCTCAGCGGTGGTTAAAAGCACTGACTGTTCTTCCAGAGGTCCTGAGTTCAATTCCCAGCAACCACACGGTGGCTCACAACCACCTTGAATGAGATCTAGTGTCTTCTGTTGGCATGCAGGCAGACGGCTGTATACATAATAAATAAATAAATAAATAAAATCTTAAAAAAAAAAAGTCAAAGTAGTTCACACACAAAAGAAAGTCTGGGTTTCTAGCTTCTTTTGAAAACAAAAACTCCAAAAGATTCAGCCAAGCAAACAAGACAGAACAGCTCTGGGTTCTATGCCCATCACTGCATGTACTGGGTGTGGTGACTTGTGCCTATAATTCCACCACTTGGTAGTTGCAGGCAGGAAGTTCAGCAGTTCAAGGCTGCCCTCAGTACACACACACACACACACACACACACACACACACACACACACACACACGCACGCACGCACGCACGCACACACACTATAGTTCTTTCTTTTTTTCCTTCATTTCTGAGACAGGGTTTCTCTCTGTAACAGCTCTGGCTGTCCTGGAACTCACTCTGTAGAACATGCTGGCCTCGAACTCAGAGTTCTGCCTGCCTCTGCCTCCCAACTGCTGAGATTAAAGGTGTGTACCACCATACCTGGCGATGCTGTACTTCTAATAAATTTGCTTGGCATAAGTCATCAGTTAATGCAAGATCTTCTGGTCCTAGGTGTTGCTTTTGTCTTTTTTATTTCTCATTTGTTTCTCATCCCTGGTCCTACCATTGAGCACCTACCTCACTATTCATGACCCTGTCCTACAGGTTACTCAATTAAATGCCCCCATGGTCTCACCCATAGGCCAATATGACAGAGTCATTTCCCCAACTGAGGTCCCCTCTTTCCAGATACTGTAGCAGATGTGGTTAATAGCCTGGTGGCCTCTGTGTCATCTGTGTTGGCTGAAATCACACCAGATCCACCCCCGCCCCAGCCCCTTACTGTGAGCTTGTCAATCTGTAGAACTCATCTTTATGGAAGATGTCACATGTTCTTTACAAAGGTTCAATTGTGGTCCTGTCTTAAGCTTTATTGTGTGCATGGGATTGAGTTATTTACCACCAGGAAAGTTTTCACAAAGTTGTGCTGTGCTTGACTATACCTAAAATACACTACTTGGGGTCAAACTCTTGAACTCTGAACAAACACTGGCTACTGAGTTGTGTTGAGCCAAATTACTTTCTTGCCTCCTGAGGCTTGTCTCTGTGGTGGTTTGAATGAAAATGGCCCCAGTAGGCTCATGAGAAGGGGCACTATTAGGAGGTGTGGCCTTGTTGGAGGAACTGTGTCACTCAGGGCAGGCTTTGAGGTTTCAGATGCTTAAGCCAGGCCCACTGGCTCATTCTCTCTGCCTGCTGCCTACAGATTGGGATGCAGAACTCTCATCTCCTTCTCCAGCAGCACCATGTCTGCCTGTGTGCAGCCATGCTTCCCACCATGATGACAGTGGACTAAATCTCGGAACTGTAAGCCAGCCCCAATTAAATGCTGCCCTCACCACTCAACTGATCAGACCCACAGTGTCGAGTCCCCTACTCCTTCCCTCAGTGTGGCAGGTACTTTAGTCAGAAGTTAAACTGTGAGAAAGCACTGGTGGGCTCATTGCCAGGAGTTAGAGGTTATAGGGGCTGGGAAGATAATGGCTCCTTTTATCCATATCTACTGGCCAATAGGATTCAGACCCACCAGTGGGCTTCCAGCAATATCCAGCTGTTTCAGCAGTGTGGGATCTGGCCTTAAAAATCACAAAGCAAAAAATGACAGTCTATACTTCCTGAAGCTCACATGGCTTGTAGACTCCAACTTCTATGGCAGCCTCCAGGAAGTCACAGAATTTTTAGCAAGAGCTGCATTGGGGACAACAGTCTAGGCAGATAGCAATGTCATTTGCAGATAGCCTGTTTCCTTCTGTTTTCAAAACCCTACTTGGAAGCTAAAGGGAGGCAAGCCAAGGCATTTTTTTTAAGTGTTAAGAGAATTGAGGTCAAAAGGACTTTGCTTTTCCTGTTAACATAGAAGTTAGTTCTGATGACCCTTTAATTGGGCTGCATTTTCAAAGGATGTAAATTACTGTTTAAGAGCTGGGTATGACAGTGAATGTCTAAGCCAGCACTTGAGAGATGGGCCTGGGGGATCTGGAATTTGATACCAAGTCCAGACTTTCTGAGACCCTGACTTAAAAATAAGCTAATGGTCAAGATTTAAAAATTGAAGTACTCAACAGGTTTTGGTGGTGCACGCCTTTAATCCCAGCACTTGCTGGGATTAAAGGTGTACACCACCACTGCCTGGAGAAATAATTTTTAATGTCATTTCCTTTTAGTTTTGTCAAGGGTAATGATCCCAAGGTGTGTCAGGTGAGAGGATAGTTTACACAAAGACTCTTCATTTCCTTTGTTCTTCTCAAAGCGCTCTGTGTTGTGGTGTTTTCTTAAGAACCTGAAGTCACACTGGCTTACAATAACCCTTTAGCACCTGACACAGGCCTTTAGAGGGCTTCTCCTTTGGGTGTAGAGAGGTAGTTTCATGCGGAAGTCTCCCACACAGAGAGCCTCTTTCTAGCATGGGCCCCACAGTATTGCCCAAGTTGGTTGGACCAAAAGTTCATGTTGGCTGCCCTAGGCTGTTGCAGAGGGGGTGGTACTTTGGGCAGAGTGCTTGCTGGAATCAAGATATGCACAGGACCCTTCTTCACCACATAGTGGTTGAAGAAGTCCATTAGACCTTCCTCACCCCAGCTTTTTTTTTTTTTTCCTTTGACTAGCTACTGATGAGTTGTGGCCCTCATAAGAGAAGCCTTTACTGCCTGCACAGACTCACTGTGATGAGTATATGGCAAGTGGAAGTTGGTTCCTGGTTGAATGTCCTTTGTATAGACAGATTCCAGTCCAGGGACAGACTGCCCTCTCTAGGTACCAGGGAGGCTGGGAGGTAGAAATGTTGTTGCTTAGGTAGCTGAAGATCTGGCCCAAGAGTACAAGTAGTAAACCATAACAGAATATCAGCTAGAGGACTCTGTCCTATGCTTTGTACGACACCATTGCTTGTCTGTGTGAATTTTCTGATGGCTAAGCAAGTTGGAGGTCAAACTGTGTAAAGGTGTGTGTTTCTTACCTATGAGTACTCTGGGAGTAACTGTAGGTGCCCCATGCCCAGCTCTACCTACCATCAGTGCACTTTGTAGTATGTTCTATGTGAATGCTCCCTAGTGATGAATCGCAGAGCAAGGTTTTAGGGCAGAACATGGTGCTATAGGAGAGAAGCGTGTGTGGAGCACAAAGACCTTTGTGATTATGTCCATAAGCGTCTTTTAAGATGGCTTTTCTACAGTGTTTGTTTTTCCCCCTTAGGTTGGCCTGGCACTTAGGCTCCTTCTGCCTCATCCTGCTAATTGCTGGAATTTTAGTCCTCTGTCGCCATGTCCCCCTCCCTAGGATCTCTCTACTTGGCATTTGCCAAGTGACTGTTTCCATCTCTTTTCAAGAGAAAGAAAAGTGCCAACTTTCCTTCCAACCAGTTTCTTCCCCTGGTTTGTTTAGTTATGAAAGCACATAATCCATGGCTGCTGCATCATGCAAATAGAATTTGGCTCAGGCTGTCAAGAATGCTACCACCAAAGTTGTTTTAGCAGAAGAGTAGAAAGTGACTAGATTGGATGTTATCGTCTCCCCAGGGTCACATTCTCTAGCATTCTAAGCCACACCTGGGCTGTGTTTTCTGGTTTCCTTCTGTATAAACTGATGATATGACTGCTCCATGGTATGGTTAAGGGGAAAATTGGTTTTTGTTTTTTAATTGTAGTTAAGGGAGAGAAAACAGCTAGAGACTTCTGGAAGAGTCCAGAGCAGAGAGAGAAAGTAGACTGAACATGGCCAGCAGACTAGACAGGGCCAGGTTTATCTTCAAGAGAGGGAGAGTAGCAGAGGTTAGAGAATAGAGAAAACACAGCGAGAGAAGCAGGAACACAGAGAGGTGGACGGGGAAGAGAAAGGAAAGAGTAAGGGAGGGGAGAAGGAGAGCAAGAATAAACAGTGAGGTTTATAAGAGTTCATGGGGGGGGGCAAGCCAGTGAGCTGGAGGGAGTTTAAAGTAGGGGAGCTGTGAAGGGCTCTGACACCAGCACGCACTTTGAAATATGATA